TGCATGCAGCTCCCCGTTGCATGGAAGTCCAGGAGGAGTCACGCAGGCCTACACGGAGGGGAGTACAGGCGGCGGCTACCGCCGTGCCTCTCTCTGGTACCGGCGTGAGGCTCCAAGGAGCCGGCGCGCCTCCCAGCCCGGATTCTCACCTCAGGGCCGGCCACGGGGGAGGCTCTGATGGGCGTAAAGCCCGGTAAAGGGAGGCAGCGGGCACAGAAGTTCGGCAAAGTCCTAAACGCAAGCCGCAGCCGCCGGAGGAGCAGTAGCAGTAGCAGCGCCGGCCCGAGAGCAGCACCAGCAGCAGCGCCATTCCCCGCGCGGCCGCTGAAAGGGACGCAGGGCGGCCGGGCTTTCGGGCGCGCGCTCCCTGGCCAGACAGCTCACGTGACGACTCCGGGCGGAAGAAGCTGCTACGGAAACAGAAAGTAACCATGCCCCCGACCCCGAGCACGTGATCTCAAGGCGCGACTAGAACGCCCGCTCTTGTCTCCCTCTGGGAGGCGGGTGCGCGGTAGCCGGGGTAGGAGGTGGCGGTGCCTCTGAGGGAAAAGCGGGTGGGTTGTTTTCTACGAAAGTAGGTAAAGGGCAGAGTGGTCAGTGCCTCAGAGGAAAGGCAGGCGGGCAGGGAGGAGGAAAAGAGTGGCAGAACAGGAAGACAGAATCATTTAAGCATTTTTTAATTAATTTTTATTGAAGATTTTTTTTACAGAATAAAAACAATACACTTTGAAAAAAAAGGAAAGGTAAAGAAAGATAAAAGAAAAAAGAAAGATAAAGGAGTGGCTTCCAATCATGCATTTATATTTTATCCTCTCTCTCTAAAGACTCGTCACATTAAATGCCACAAAAATGTAAAGCTGAAGTAGTATAGTATGCGGGCTGAATCCGAAAGCAGTTCTAATTGTGGAAGTTCTGGCTGTTAAAAAGGACTGAAATTTCAACAATCCCAGTTGGGAAAACAACTGGTGGAGATAGTTATTTTTCATTTTGTTAGGGGGGAAAAAAAAGAGGAAACCAGAGGAAGAAATTCAACAGGGTCACACAAAAATGAAGAAGTCTGAATTAGAACCTTGAGCAACGTTGCCTCAAATAGACACATGGTGAGGTTGTGCCAAAGTTTAGGAAGGAGAAAAAGCAGCTATGAATATAGAATACAATGCATGCCTGGAAAGAACAAGAAAATCTATCTGTCAGTGCTTTAGTCAGACAAAGTATAAACAGAATGTATTGATTTCAAGGCGGAAAGGACGCCTTTGCTTGGAAAATGTATCCCAAAGTTACAGCAGTGTTAAACTTCAAGGAAAAAGTGAGATTTGTCATGAAATAGATTACTTGTACTTCAGCTCTACAGTATTGAAGTAAGTAATTACGGTAAGTGGGAACTTCCCCAAAAGATATAAAACTAGGAGAATTTAAAGAGACCAGTGTGAGAAGGGAAGAGGAGATGAAGTTAAGAGTAAAAAGAGGGATCAGTGTATAGAAAACAGAATCGTTGGTGACCTTTTTGAAAAAGTCAACTCTTTTTTTTAAGTGAGTACCTTACAATTTAGCTGTTCAAGCAGTGTTATTGTTAAATAAAGTTTTACAGTACTGTAACTGTTTATAAACAACTGGTCCTCTGAGTAAATGAGAGACGACAATATGCTACTTCTGAGCATATAATCCTTGTTTTGCCTCATAGCCTGCACAGATTTATGTGGGAGTATGCCCTAGCGAGTGGGGTGGAACTTATTTCTGATCCTGTACTTATTATCTTGGGGGGGGGGGAGAATAAAAGTCCAGTTGGACTTGCAGCTGAATAAAGAATGTTAATTTGTCTGCAGCAAAAATTCTGTGGTAATCCAAACATCAGGAGATATCTTTACAGATATCTTTTCATGGGTCAGAGCTTCCTTCATCAGAGGCTTAAGCTGGACTCATGCAGCAAGCCTTTTTTTCATCGGTCTGGGGTCTATAAACTCTATTGATAATTTATAGAATTATATGAATCCAGCCAATTATAGTTTGTTCAGTCAAGCAAACATACTGTATGAACATCTCAGATATATTTAACAAATAGCCACAAAGATTTCCATGCACAACACACTTAGGGGGAAAAGATAATGTTACTAGAGACTAGAGAGTATGTGGACTTACTCCAGAATATACCCATTAACTTTGATTACTATACTTTGACAACATCTGGATCCTGCTATCCACAGGATATCTTTCCATAATAGTGTTCAAAGTAATAGCAATCTACATCTGTGAAATTTGTTTTTCCACATGGCTCTTAAAAATGCTGGACATCATTTCTGCACCTCTCCCTAGTGCCTCCATGTCATCCAGGCTTAAAACTAGGCTAAAAAGGATCAACATAATCTATCTCATCTAAGAGCTCCCATAGCTGTACTGCCACTGCCTTCTCTATTATCTTAATTAAATAATATATTTTTTGCACTGGTTGATAGCTGTTAACATCAGCTAGATCCAAAGATAGTTTGGACAGGGATAAGGATCTCATCATCACCACTTCATTTACAGGGTGGGGGATTTAGTTTGCAAAAAGTATTAATGATCTCAGTGGCTGTTAGAGGTTCTTACAAGCCAAGCCAGGGACGAAACCAAACATACAATGGGAGGCCCAAAGAGATCTAAGAATCTTGCTCACAAGTGGAACTGTCTAAAGTGAGTGCTATTACTGTAGATGTGTGGTGGGTTGCTTGAAATGACATCAATACCATCACAAATCTGAACAATTTTATTTATAGAGAACTTCCCAGCTACTCACCATGTTGCTCAGATGGAATCTGGGTGCTGGCCAGAGCCACTGAAGGCATCTTCCCAAAAACCTGAAAGAATCCCTTTGGGCAGTTTTCTGCCAATGCAATTGTGTGTGTGTGGGGAGGGGGGTCCAACATTTCTTCTCTCTAATAGCTCCTGCATAGATCTCATGGTGAATCCCCCATTGTGTTTGCTTGTCTTTGCCCATCATAGTTGCTCAAGCCTCATAACCTTGTCTTGTATTCCTTACAACCATTCTATGAACCATGGCACATTATGGGCTCTAAAGTAGGGCAAAGGGTGCTTAAGAGCTACTATATCAAGTGCTGGATATATTTCAATATTCTACATTTCAACCAGGTCACTGATAAGTTGGGTAATCAAGTTGAAGAGAACATTGCTTAGAACTACTTGGAATCAAATAGAACTTCTTAATCTCTGGGGTGGACCTATCTGATATGGTCCTTGCACCTACCAAGGAGAATATGCTGCAGTAGTCCAAATTTCACATGAAGTAGTGGTCAGTCCATGGCAATAGTATCACTTCTGGGTCCACTATATGTTGGCCACTCCCATCCAAGACAAAAGCCAGATGGAGGATATGACCTGCCTTCTGGGAAGGTTATGAAAATATCTTTTGAAGCCTTTGGGAGCCATGAAATCCTGAGGTGCACCTATTGAAACAGTTAAATATGAATGTTGATGCTCCCCGCCCCCCGCAAGACCAAAAGCCTCGGGGTCTCAACTTTCAGAACAATTGTATCAGCTATTCAAGGACTTGGCAGGATGGCCAAAACATCAACAGAGTCCATCTTCACTTCATTGTTCAGAACACAGAAACACATTACATGCCTAATGAAGTCTGATTTTGGCAGGCGGGTGTGAGGTGTGATGGCGTTCTGCAATTCCCAGAAATGCTTCAAGGACCTACAAAGAGCACATTACTATAATCCAACCATAGGTTGCCAGCACACAAGTCATGGCATGTTCAGCACTTTCACCCCACTGCCACGAAGCTTGTCTTATTCTTTATGGCATAACTGGTTACAATAGACCCAGGTAAATGAGTCTAAATTGCAGGCTCAAATGATAAAATTCTGCAGCCTTTAGTCTGCTCCCCTTCTAGCAGAAGCTCAGAATCTATCATGCTTATGTTAAGGGTATATCTTTTTTCCACTTTACAAAAAAGCAGGACAATTCTGATAAGAGAACAAAATCCAAAATTAAAATTAGGGCAATATGTTTTATCAAGCTAATTCAAAGGTCATTAAAGATCTTTTGTGTAAGATCTCTTCATCAAGTAAGATGTTACAAAAGGAAGAAGTGCAGTGATAGTGGGAAGCCTCAGTAATACGTTCCAGTTTCAAGACTCTGCTGAAATTGCAAGAAGTGCTGAGTCGAAGAAAGTTTGAAAGAAATTCTTACTCCCGGTTTTGCTGTTCCCTCTTTTCTAATAGTAATTTTTCAGCTTACCTGAAAAAAGTCACCATGTCACTAGTTTACTTAACAAATGAGGCTAATATCAGCATGAAAAGGAAATATTGCCATTTAAGGTTCAGTTCAAAGATACTGCTACTCCTAAGGACTTTACTTCATTTATGCCTTGGGAACATCTCCACCCTAACTCTAACTCAGTGTAGTTAATTTATGATTCAGCTGTGCTGTGCAGATCAAGGCTGTCGCATTAATTCAATGAACAAGGATTCAGTTAACCACGGATTGTAGCATGGTGCTCCAACACAGGTTTTTGGTTAGGGCTACTGTATCTGTTTTATTCTTTTATGCACATAGTTTCTCTGATAATAGTTTTATAGTTTACATATAAACATGCAACAAACTGCTACTAACTAATGCTTTTTGATTCAATTGTACATAGTTGAAAAAAATGGCTACTACACTATCAAAAACTGCCTGTTTTATAGAGGACATAACCATTTTTTCTTGATCAGAAGCAATATTACAATTGTGCATAGCCCTGAAGAAAAGAACTGCCTTTCACATGAAGGCTGAGTGTTCCCCATGTCACAAAATAGCTAAAGTATCTACTAGGGTACCATCTTGCTGAAGTTAAGCAGAACTGAGAATGATTGTCAGAGGCAACATACAGATAAAAGTATGTAAATTAATTAATCCTTGGGTGAGAAAGAAGAACGTATAACAAAAGCAAAATATCAGAGAGTAGCCCAAATCTGCAAGGATGGGGTTGGGAAGCTAAGGCTCAGAATGTGGTGAGGATTAAAATGAATGCCAGAAATTACAAATAAGGGTTCTTTGGGTATGTGCAGAACAAAAGAAAGCTAAGAAAGTCCACTGGTTGGAGAAGTTGGTGAGATGGTGATGGGCAACAGGGAGGAGGCTAAGCTACTAAACTTCTATTTATCTTTGTGCACAAGAAAAAGGTGGTCCAACCTGTCAGAAGCTGCATCATGGGGTCATAGAAGAAAAATGCTGATCAAAACAGGTAAGGAATTGGTAAGGGAACACCTTGCTGCTTTATGTTTCTGGAATTGGATGGATTGCATCCCAGGATGCTAAAAGAACTGGAGATGTGATCTCAGAACCTGCTGTAATCTTTGAGAACTCCTGGAGTACAGGGGAAGTGGTGGCCCAAAAA